AGACCCCCCCCCCCCAAAAAAATAGTCTTTGAAAGGAAAAGTGTAGAATAGGCATTTCTTCCTACAGGGTGAGTTCAGATCTGACCCTTGGAGTCCGGTAACCTTAAAGGACTGGTCCTCATTATTGTGGGTATCCTATGTTAGTGGTTCTGGGGTGGAACCCAGGGCCTCACATTTGCTGGGCTCACACTGACCTGTATCTCAACCTTCCAGTGATGTCTTGAATAATGCTTATTTTTCCTTAAATCATTGACCACTGTTTTTAATTCACGCAAAGTGCTTGTGAACAGCTCTCAACAGAGGGTGTATAACACACATTTCTATATTAGATATTTTCCTTTAGAGAAATCAGTACTTTCCCCTTCCTGAGGACAGTGGTAGTTGACAGGTGTGTACTGAGTGTCTACTGTATGTCAGAAAATATGTTAGGTTTTGGATGCACAGCAGTGACTTCTTAGCGTTTCATGGCTAATGTATCAGTTCCTTGGTCTCTTTAAAATCCATGATCTGAAGAGTAAGGAACACAGCTCAGTGGGTAAAGTGCTGATGCACAAGTTGAGGACCTGAGTTTTGATCCATAGCACTCACATGAAAGTCAGATGTGATGGCCCCTAACTTGTCTCCATGCTGGGAACATGGTGACAGGAGAATCCTTAGAGCTCACTGGCCAGCTAATAGAGCCAAATCAGTGAGCTCGGGTTCAGTAAAAGACTGACTTCAAAATAAAGAGTAAAGTGAAAGGCAAATAAGGATATCAGCCTCTGGTACCCTCCCCCCCGGAAATCTATAACAAAAAACTTGGAAAATTGTGGAGGACTTGGTGAGAAGTGATTAAGGGGAACCTTCTGCTTCCTTCTGATCTGAGCCTCCAGCTGTAAGCCTTCCCCACAGCAAAGCAAACGTGTGCCAGCCTGAAAATGTTTTGATAAAGACACTGATTTTATTCCCCGTTGCCCTGTGAAAGGTGTGAATCTGGAATCCCACTGAAATACCTCCATGGCATTTACTTCTGCATATGAATTTACGTGAATGACAAAAGATTTAAGTGCAGGAACAGCTGTGATCGACCGTAACAGACTCTAATATTCCATATTCCTCATGGTATCATTTTCCTGCATTGCTGGTTATTACAGTTCCTTAGGACGGAGTAAGCTTATAACGCAATTACATCCAAAAAAATCTTATCATGAGCGCTGTGCTTTCTTTGTAATACCATAGAAAAGCCATTTATAGTGACAGGGTTTAACTAAAAAATTACACAGACACAGAGGAGCTTAGTTCAGCTTCCCAGAAAGGCCTCAGACATCATTTTGCTGGTGTGGGAAAGCCTTTTCCCAAGTCATTGGGAGGGGCTGTGTAAATTATAGTAAATACTGACATGCACATAGGACACATACCTGTCTTGAATGAGCCTCAATCCAAACTGAGGTGCTTGGGTGCTTCCGTGGCAGGTATGTGAGTCCAGCCTGGGACCAGACTACTGAATTTTACCTCCTCATGAAGTTAAGCACTTGCACTCTTCCCGTCTTGATACAGAGGTTGAGAATTAGTGAAAGGATTCTTTTGTACTTGGTTACATGGTTTCTTCCTTCATATTTAGATGTGCTTGGCACACTAAATTTTCTCCTTCCAGCTCTGTTAGACTGCCCTCACTCTCTTCAGGGTCTCATGCTCCTGACCAGGTAGACAAACCATATAACACATCTTTATCTGAATTATGCATAATTTATACCTTCTATACAAAGAAACGAACACCCGGAGGGCCCAGCTCTGTGCTGCTGCTCAGCCCACCTTTCTAGATCGCTTTTGCCCAGGGTCTGGTCTGCCTCATCTCGCAGCCCTGCATGCCCATTCACCCCATAGAGTTCCGTGTGGGGTCTTCTCGAGGTTCCCCAGTGCCCCACGGGGTCCAGGGCAGGCTGGTTAGCCTGCTCCCAGTTCCCTGCTTCCCAGAATGGCACCAATTCCTCCTCCTTTCGTTCCAATCTCCCTCCATACCAGTCTCCACCCTTCTTCCAAGGGTGCCCTGCACTCGTCCTTGGCTCTTCAGAGAAGTCGGGAGGAATAAATCATTTTCGGGCTACAGTGCTGTGCGCGCGCACAAGTGTTTGTGTGTGTACGTGTCTTTGTGGTCTGTGCATGTGATGCATATGCATGCGTGCACTCACCACTATTGTTTATCTATGTTATTTTTTGAGACAGAGTCTCTAAGTGAAACTGGGGTTCTTCCATTTTGCGTAGATTGGCCAGTGAGCCCCTGCGATCTGTGTCTTACGTCTTACCACCTGCCCTCTACCCTGCCCCCCCCAAGGGGTGTTATAGGCCCGCACAGCTGGGTTTTAGGCATCTTGGCTAATGCCCTCATGTTTGTGCAGTAAGCACTCTATGCACTGAGCCTTCTCTCCAGCATCCCTATGTAGAATGCCTGCCTCACACCCACAGATCCCTGGGAAGCACTTTATCTAGTGAGCCATCTCAGCAGTCCTGCATCCTAGAGTGCCTGCTTAGCACCCACAAGGCCTTGGGTTTGATCTCCTCACTAGGTACCATATTAATCCATGCTTTGCTAACTCTCTTCCCTGTGCAGCATACAAAGTTCTCCCAGGAGTGCTTCTGATCTATTTTGCTTCACCTTCCAGGCTTCCACGTGCCACATTCGAGCACGAGTCCTTCCTGCCTTTCCTCACCTAGGCTCTGGCTGTGCTTGTGTCTGTGGGCCTCAGGCTCTTCCCAGGCAGATCCTCAAGCTGAGCTTGATCCCAAGCTGATGCTCATTTCCCAGCTTGTCACTCGACCTGCAGAGTCAGCTTGAGTCCACATCCATCAAGGAAATATTAGGAAAAAGTAACCTTATGCTGAAATAAAATAGCCTGTTGGTTTCACCATTCTCTAAACAGTACAGTCCAATAACTGTTTATCTATGTTTACATTTCTTTGTCATTAAAAGCAGAGAAGACTTCATGTGTGGAGGACCTTGTGTAGGTTCTATACAGACAGTGGCTCTCTTCTAGATAAGGGCTTGAATATCCTTGTGTTTCGGGGGCTCTACAGGGGGCCTTGGAACTGAACCCCTGAGGATACCAAGGAATGAGTGTGTAATGTTGAATCCCTTAATACCATATCCAACTTGCAACTTTCCTCCTGTGGTAGAATCCACTGAAATGTTCCCCCATAGATCTTCCAAGCACTGAAAAAATTCATTCAAGGGTGAAGCCAGTGATTTGGGTTCACCACTAAATCTTTCAGATACCATCTGTGTCTGTGGTTTGGCCTGTGAGTCTCTTTCCTTCACCCACTGGTGTGCATCCCGGGTACCTGGATCCAGACACTCCCTTTCCATGGCCCACTGGAGCATCACTGGGGATTGATTCTCTACTGTTAGGCCTACTCCCATAGCCTCCTCTTTGCATGGGATAAGGGAGATTCTTCTACCTAGCAAATTGATGTTGACAGTGTCCTGGATAGGGACCTGGCCTTGACACATGTCCCAAGGCTAGGCCTATTGTGGGATCTGGATTCTAGTGCTGTCTGTATTGATCCACCTGCTCAAGCTCTCTGTTCACCCACAGGTGCTGCTCACCTTTAGTAGGTCTCTCTTTGGCTTGAATATTTCTGCTGGTACTACCTCTCTGTCCTGACAGAGCGCCCACCTATCAGCCTTTAAATTCCTGTTTTCTCCCCGCAATATTGTTTCCATAGCCCTCCATGACCACCTTTGTGTGGCTTGTCCACCTTCCCTACCATGGCACCTCTGAGTTTCTTTTGCC